TCATATTGATATTCCCTAAGTTTAGCAGCATCTTTAAATCCTATTTTCGGGTTTTCTGTCAGCCATATAATCAGGACTAGCATTACAATTCTATTGATTTTTAAAAACAATATTAAATGGAAAGTCAAATAATATTGCAGCAAAACAGAGCGCAAATGATGGAACACAGCAGTTTTATTCCTTTGGCAGGATGCAGGACAAGACAGAGGTAATAGCTGCAGAGGCTTTTTTTTTTTTTTTTTTTTACCTAAAAAGGGTAGGTGTGTTTTTCAAGCTCTTCTTAAACTGAACTAGTACATATGTAAATTGAAATGCATGTATGTGAAGTTCCAGCTGGGAAAAAAAAATAAATCCTAAACAGATTGAAGCGAGAAAATGAATAGTTAGGGGAATGTCAGTAAGTATTCAGATATCCTCACAGTTTCTTAAATAAATGCACATTTGTAAAATATCAGATTGCATATTCCAAAGACAGCTTTAACTCTGTCCCTGCATCCATTCCCAGTCTTAGTCTGCAGACCAGAGAACCCCTACAGACAGAATGCTACATCAAATAAATTCTGAGGTACAACCATCACACAATATGGTTAAGTTGGAATATTTTTACTGTTTAATAATAGACAAAGTGGATATTTTATTTTGGAATCAAAGTGCTGTTATGTGGATTTACGGTTTATAAGGTTGGCGGTGTTTCTGAGTACTTTCTTTTCCAAAGTACATAAATATAAAGTGGTAAAAATTTTGGTTTTAGCTTATAAATGTAGTTAATAATCTGTTCAAACAATAAAAAAAATCTATTTATTAATGGCCAAGAAATGTTAGGGGGGCTTGGTTTTTCTTCTTACAGGAGGATCATTTAAATCAACTGGATGAAATGAATAGACAGTGAATATCACAATGGTTTGGGGGGATCATGTGGAACTTCAGTTATTAATCCATTAAAGTCATTACTGCCTCCAAGTTTTATTTAAAAGTCAGGGTCTTTTTTAAGGATTTCATTAATGAGGAAGAGAACTATTTGTGTTTGATCCCTCCAGTGTATGCATGGATGTGCACTCATGGACTGGCTGAGGGACCTTCTCTGCGTGGGTTCGCGGCGCTGAGCAGTGGGTAGGCAGTGACGTGCAAAAGCTCTCATGGGCTTTGCATTGATTGTCCTGTTCTGACATCCTGGTTTTTATTGTGCTTACAATATATGCAAACACATCAGGCAATTAGACATGTGAAGACCTGGTTCTGCTTCATTATTTGACTTCCGGCAACTAATAATGAGATTTTTGAAAGATTTAGTGCTATGCTATTGAGTATAAAAGAAGATTGGTGGCCTGTGCAATGGAGTTAGGTGTGGTAGATTAACTTTGTCCTGGCATCTGTATAGAAGCCTCTCTGTAGGTATTATCAGCTGTAATTGGCACTGTTGCCAGAAATAACACTGCAGTATCAAAAACGTGGGTGTTTTAAGGGTGTAGCTGGGGGATTTGAAGTGTTCGCTTGTTTGTTTAAATTAATAAAGACCCACGAGATTCTTTTCCTTTCCTGGGTTATTGTTGAATTCTGTAATTTTAATTCTTTTCAATATTCTTTATAAAGTCTGCTGGTGTCCAAATTACATATAAGTACTTAAGAAAAAGCTAAGTATCATGGCAGCACGTTGAAAATATCCACTTATGGGCATAGTAATGGCCTAAAATGAAATAAAGTCCTAGCAGGTGGTAATGACTAGAAATAATCAACAAAAGTTTTAAATTATGCCCAGGCAATGACTGTTGGATACTACAATAATGATTCATAGCATGAAAGTGAGTTTTTGTTCTCAGAAAGGTACAGGATATACCATGATTTGAAATTCCTGGAGGAGTCCAGTGCATTGTGTTATTTACTACCCCTTTCCAGTAAAACTGTGGCTGTGAGAGTAAAGCAAGTTAGAGTAAGCACATACTTGACCTCTGTGGGACTGATTTCTCCTGCACTCAGAGGCTGGCGGGTAGGCCCAGGTGCTGGATACTTTTCAATGAATGGGTGACCCTGAGATCAGAATGGGTTACCAGGAAGGAGCAACAGCATAAATCTAAGATTAGTAACCCCTATGCTAAATACTTTAAAGGATCTCCCTACTGAAATTCTCAGTACATGCTTCACAAGGTCATTAAACCATCAACTGTAACTGTACTAAGAATTAAGAATATATTTTCCATTGCATTTGTTATCTTAAATATGAGAATGTATATTCCCCTAAAGAAAAACACTTCTGGTTATTTCCAAAATCAACACTTAACGGGATGGATCCTGCACAGGGGCCGGTAGGTTTCCTGAGGAGTTATAATATGAGCATTAATAATCAGATTATTGGAAGTGAAGTAATTGTAAAATTTGAAGTTTTAAGTTGTACTGCTTACTTTTTGTGTTTCTGTTTTTGAACTAATTTCAATTCAGCAGTCAATTTCTGGGTGCTTTATAGACCTCTTCTGCATGCAGGTTTCTGTATGCATTACTCTGCCACATTGCCTGTGTTACAATTATTATTCATAATTTTTTGCACGTCTTTCCTTCAGAACATGAAAATTAGCACTAAGGCCTTAGGTTTGGCTTTAGAAAAGGCTTTTTTCAGTCTAAAGGAATCTTATGGTGTCACATTCAATCTCTCCTGTGAAAGTTAAATTTCTTTCTCTTGCTTCCTTTCATGTTCAAAAACTTAAATAATTTATTGCTGCAATGGAATGTGTACTGAATCCAGTAACCAACAGAGGATGTGGAAAGATTTATTGGGAGAAACATTAAGAGCATTCCTGGCCAGGTGTATTTTATTTCTTTCTTGTGAAATGGAAAAAAAAAAATACACCTCCAGCCAACTTCAGATATGGCTGGAAGCCCATTTGGAAAACAGTGTCTGTAATTGTGAAGTGCTTCTCAAGACAAACTGAGCAAAATATTATGAGGGGCACATAGAGATTTGGCATTGCTGAATAGCAAGAAATGTGTTGTTCGATCTTGAAAGCAACTGCAGTGTTTGCTGTCTGAGTGGGTGCGAACACATGACTTCTGCTCTCCTCGTGCATTATACAGCAGTTTATACCCATGGGAAATGAGGGAATAAAAGTCCTACTGAACCCTAGGTCCATGACAAAAGATCCTGAAGGAGCAGGACCTAAGTACAATTCCTCACTCCTTGCTTGGCTGATAGGAGGTGCTACTCAGTGAATTGCAATATACAGATGTGGTGAACATTTTTATACTACCGCAATTTTTTAGAACTCTAATAAATAATTTTACTTCCTATTAGAATATATAACATGAATTTGTGGAGTGTAATCTTTTGCAGAGTTACAAATTGTAACAGCTTACTTATTTGATGATTTTTAGGACAAAATGCTAGTTGAATACAAACATAATTTTTTTCAGGAATTATAAAAGAATCAGTTATAAACTAGCTATTTTTGATTCTATCCAGTTACCTCTCTGGCATGTTTCCTGTAATTTACATAAATCACAAAGTTAATACAAGTATTAACATAGAATCAGAGAGTAGTTTGGTTTGGAAGTGTCTTTTAAAGGTTAGTTATCTACTCCAGTCCTGCTGTAGTGAGCAAGGACATCTTCAGCTAGAGAGCCAGAGCCCAGTCCAACCCAACCTTGAATGTTTCAAGGAGTGAGGCATCCACCACCTCTCTGGGAAACCTGCTCCTGTGTTTCACCACTCTGTCATAAAAACTTTCTTCTCTATATCTAGTCTGAATTGACCCTCTTTTATTTTAAAACCGTTACCCCTTGTCCTGTTGCTACAGCTCCCCTCCGTGCTAGCTGAATAGGTAGGTCCCTTCAGCAGTTTCCCTATTCCTTAAAAAGCAGGTTTGGATGTTATGTTTCTCTACAAATTGTGGAAACAATTTCTTCTTTCTCCATTAATCTGAGTTTTAAACATTCTCTGGAAAATTCTTCCTTCATGCACTGTCTGAATAAAAAAAGAGGGGAAAAGATACAGATTCAAACTGCTCCATCCTTCTACCCTGGGCAGGAAGCTGTATCTGCATCCCATTTTACATTCTCATACTCAGGACCCTCATGATGAGTTTACCTTGATCTGTCTGTTCCACTGTATACCAGTCCTTACTGTCAAAACCTATTACATCCAGTTTTCTCCGTCATGGCTATGGAGCACAGCTCTTGATTTCTCTTTGTAGCTCCCCTTCTGTATTTATATATTCTGGGTTCTCCCTACCCTAGAGTTTTATAGACCTTTCTTTTTTTCTGTTGCTTCACAGAAATTGTTCCCTCCTATTTCTCTCTCCAGGGATGTCTCTGTGCCTGGCTACACCTATTGCTATTTTCCCAGTGTGCAAATGGAAATGTTAGTGGTAGGAAGAGGCTAACTTTTTATATTCAATACAGCCAAAACTACTTGGTGATTAGACAAAAGACTCTTTCAAATGTGAGCTGAAGTGCTCAGTTAGAAGCACAGAATCAATGTCTCAGTTTATTACTGTTTCCTGTATTGGTTTCTATACTTGCCTATCAAAACCAGACTACTTTTTGAAGTTATCTCATACAGAGATCAATTTAAACCAGTGAAGTCCCAGTGCTTAAATGCCTTTGTGTTAATAAGTTTGTAGATTACAGATGGGATTCAGTAAGTGCTTACAGTTGCAGGTCTTTAACTAATATACTCAATTAAATCTGCCATTTTTTTCCATGTTTTCAAACCCAACATTTTTACTGCCTTTTAGATTTTAAAAATCAGTTAGGAAACAAGTGGCCTCTGGATAGATGGCATTAATCCTAGTAGTTTTGCATCATGGAGATTGGAGAAAATGGTTATTACTATGAAATTGTGCTTCCTTAAAATACAAGTTTTAGAAGTTCTTCTAATAAGTACAAATAAATGGTTTTATTTGTTTCAACAATCATATGGTAATTTGGCATATGTGAAAATTGATTTTAAATATTTACTTTTCCTACTTTTGTAAACATATTGTTTTCCTTGCTCTCCCCCTTTTTTTTTCCAGGACCCTTCACTTCTTCAGGAGACAGTAAATTCTGCTGCTACTCTTATCATGGCATTAATAAAGGACAGAAACCCGGAGCTGATTGGCCAGCTGTTGGTAGCATAAGACCATAAATCATGTGTAGCTTTTGGAAACCTTTGTTTTTCATCATCTATTCACCAAAGGTCTTAAGTCATCTTACTCTTTGATTAAAACTGTGGATTTATGCCATTTATATTAAAGTCCTTTAACAGCATATTTTTGATACTTAAAATGCAAGTCTGATATTATGTATAAAGTGTAATAGGAAATACAAATAATTCTGAGATACACTGGGTACATACTGTGAGGAATGATACTGAAATGTTTTTTAAGGTACTGATCATTTAAAAAGGTGCACACAGGACACCAAAGCATTCATGCAGAATTGTCTTTAAACATGTGTGTGTGTTGTACTCTAGGACTGCATAACTTAAATTTTATTTAAGATAAATTAATCCTAAAGCACAGCTTATCTACTTTATAGGAAATTATTTAAAAATTGTTACTGTAATACCTATCAGTGAATGCAGAGTTCATTATAGAGTGTAGCCTTCCTGACATCAAAAGAAACACATATTGCAAGAAGTGTGGGAAGGGTCAGGTCCCCATCTTCTGTGAAATGAAGGTAACCTCAAATCACAGAAAAGACATGCATGGGGACAACAAGGTGCTAAACCCAAGTTTTCCAGATGCAATATGCTCTGGCTGTAGCCTTTTGGTGCTACACTTCTTCCAGTGCCCACGTGCCATCATTCAGAACTAGCTCCTGTAGCACCACTGAATTACTGTAGTGCAAATACTCTGGTTTTGCACATCTGTGTATGTATATGCATGTATGTGTGTGAGAAAAGGGTTAGGACCCAAAAAAATGTTTCACTACCCAATCTATAGGTCATGGAGAAATAGGAAGGTTCTGTTAGCTCAACTATAAAAATACAATTTTCGTCTCTTGCTGATTAACATATGTTTGTATTAAATAGTAGTCAAGAGACTAGGCCTTATGAATTTAAATATATGCTCCATGGATAGTGATATGGTTTGAAGCTGGCTCCCTGCCAAGTCTACAAACCTTACCACAAGAAGTTTATCCCCCCCCAAAACCTCAGGGAGAAGAGGGAGAAAAGACAACTAAGAAAACCCAAAATGAGAGAGAGACAGCTAAAGTGATATATATAAATATATTTACACCTATATTACAGTTATATACAATTGAAATATATATACAATTTCACAGGGGAAAGGGAAGGGGGAAGGGAAAAGGAACAAAACCAAAATAATATATATATATATATCCCAATCAGTAGCCCGAGATCTAGTAACTAAAGAGTTAGCAAAGAAATATCCCACCACTCTCTTTGGGACAACCAAGAGTTGCTCCAAGACAATTGCTGGCAACCTCCGCCTCCCAAGGTCGACAAGGCCTTACCAGGCCTCGCTCCCCAACACGACAGACTCAACAGCAGGGAACCTGCACTTCCAAGCTCTGGAAGGAAAGAGAGCAAAGGCCTCTCCTCCTTTCTTCTTATAGTCTGGCTTACATAAAAATCGTAGGGAATACTGGGTAAATCTGGACCCTTTCTTGGTTACAAACTGGTCACCAAGGAAGGTCTAGCCCAAACTACCACAGATAGTCAAGTGTGCACAGTTGGGACAGGAAGATGAAATGGTGAATGATTATTATGTGGAGTATCTCCAAGTGTCACAACCATTAAGAGCAATACAAGAAGAGTCCCTGAAAACATCTGTCCCTCCCTATGCAGTAGACTCAGGAATTCCATCTCTCCTGCAATTTGTGAAGGGGCTAGGTTAGTGTCTTACGTACCTGCTGTGACTAGAATACAGTCTTAGAGCAGTATTCCCACCAGAAGTGTTCAGTAAGTCCCCGATTCAATCTGTCCTGAGTGAGAGCACTGTCAGTTCAGCAAGTTTCCCTCTAAAAACAGCATTCCTCCCCTTATTCCCACCATGTTCCACACCCTCTCATGCTCTGCACTTGGTTCCCTTCCGCTAATTTAAAACCCTTTTAGAAGCTGATCTTGATCCTAAAACTTCCTTCACTGCATAATAAAATAAAGAGTTTTTAGCTGAGGATTCTGTATCCAAAGCAGACTTTTTCTTCCACACAGAAGTCATGCAAAGACAACTAACAAAGTTCTTGTACATCATCTGCTTTCTTCTTTGCTTCTTTCTCCTCTCTACTTTGATGAATAATTTGTCCTTTCTGACATTGTACAACATAAACATTCATATTAGCTTTTTGTATGGCTGTACAATAGGCATATTTTGTTCATTCATGTCTGTTCATATGCAGAGTATGCAAATAAATGAAGAACTAAAGAATTTATTACTGGTATTCATAATTTAACAGGACAGCTTTCACAAATAAGTTTTCTGAATTTGCTTTTACGTTAATAAATTTGATGAAGGAATTTGTTTCACAGGCTTTTAAAAGACATGATGAAAGATGTCTCTTTGAGTGTATTTTGTGATTCTTTTTTGCTTGAAGACTAAAATACAATGTGGTGTTTTCCCCAATTAATAAGCAAGTGAATTTTCTAGCCACTTGTGTGTAACATCATTTGCTTAAACAGAACCTTTTATTTTTTAAGGTTGTTTTACTTACATTCTCCTAAAAGGATTTCCATCCAATTAAAAATGATACTGCAATGAATTGCTGTAATGAAAAAATATAGTTGTTTATGGACTTATTTTGAAAAGAAAACAGACAACGCACAACAAAACGTAAATTTTGGGTCATCAAATATACTTAGTACTAATCTTAAAAGGAAGATAATAAGATTAATTGCTAATGTACTGTTAATCATTGCATTATGGATTTTTTAATCTTTAACAATCTTTTCAAATAATCTACAACCAGTGAAAAATCTATTTTGCTGGAAACAAATACATTAACAACAGAACTACTAAAACAGATCATGAAATACTAGAACTGCAGTAAAAAAAAAACAAAGAGAAACTGGACTGTGATTAATGCTATTGTGTATCCAAACCAAATTGAAATGGTCTTTTGGGTGATTGTTAGTACTTACAATGGGAATAAAAATATAAAATGAAATTAAGAAACTGTTTGATTGTTTTTTGTCTGTGCATAGCTTCTCACAAATAGCAGTATACATGAGAAACTTGGCAGCCTTTTGTACAAACATGCTGTTTTGAATTTAACTAGTGAATCAGTCACCACCCATATTGCTTTGAACATTTGGACAGAGATAACAGAGTATAAATAAAAGCTCAGACTCTGCCAGCCTTGCTTACCTTACTCCTTAAGCACTCTAATTAGTATTCCTTGGGTAGTGTTCATCAGAAAAGAGAATGCAGAATATGGCCCTAGAAATGCTTTTTGTAACTGCCAAGTCGAGTAAATTAGATTTGTATACTGAAACTAACCTACTTCATGGAAAATCTGAAATGTAAATTACTTTTTTTGTCTTAGAAGTCAAGCAGAAGAATTTCTACTTACGGTCTTTCTTTCTTTAGCTTTTCAGGCTGCCTAGCTTGAGAAAAAAATGGTTTGATGGTCCTCTAAAATGGCTGAAAGAATGAAAAGGATAGAACATGGTGAAATTAAAAACAAAAAACACCCAACACCCCAAAACCAAACCAAAAAGCAAAGAGAAACGAAATGAAATGTTACCCTATTGCAATCAGTGGCATAGTAGAGTCAACTTTAGTTGACTTTAAAATACCACAATGAAGCTTTTAGCTCATCCTGATAATTAATGTAGGCTGCAGGACAAAAAGTGTTTCTGGATGCCGTGAAGCTTTTGGTGCATTCAAATTTGTATTTCTATGTGACATCAAAGTCTCATCATTGCCACAGTGCTGTTGTAGATGTCACCCAAAGAGAAGTTTCCGAAGACATGTAAGGTTTCCAATTACTACTTGGCACTTTCTGAGGATACAGCAGGTTTTCCTGTCTGTAGGTCACTCCACCAGAGAAGAGACATACTTTGTTTGCTCTGTTCTCCATGTCTAGGACACTTGCTACTGCTCACTGCTTTTTGCTTGGGTTTTATGTATGAAGAAGAGCACATTCACTTCCAGACATGCAAAAGCTTTTTATTTTGTATCTCCTTTCTCTTCGTCCATAACTTTGATCTGAAAAATTCTGGTTCGTGTTATAAAGCGTCCACCAAGATGTGCAGACAATGGATGCTTCCCTTCATTCCTGTTGAGGAAGGTTTTGGAGCTCAGGAATAGGCTCATATTAAGTGCTCCTTTAGGTGCCAGAGGCTGGGGCCAGACTTACCTTTGTCCTGGATCAGTGTGACTGCTCTGATGACTGGCAATTGTAACAACTGTGTGTTATGGGACAAATTGAGCCCTTCAGAGTATTAGTACTGCCTCAACCTCATGGTTTTTAAGATTGCTGATTATTCTCTCTGGTCTAGATGCCAGATGCACTAATCTTATTCCCATCTGACTGGAAAAAAACCCCAGTATTTAGTTATTAGATTGATTAATTCAGATGCATAGTTTACTAGATGGTCAGTTCTTCTCCTTGTATACGTAATGATAGAATGGTATTCAGAGGAATTTCCTCCTGTTTGTTTCAAAAATGACTTATTAAAATCCCAACTAATTCTCACTGAAACAGGTAGAGCTGCTGAGACTTCTAAAAAGAACAATATCTTCAAGGGCTCACATTGGTAAAATCTCTTATGAAATTTTAAGGTATAAATATATATATATTTTTATGTTCTAGAAATATGTAATTATAACATGAAAAGAAATTCAACTATAACTATAGTTATATTTAAGGCCGGTCTTGAAGAGCTGAATTCCAAGAGACTTTAAAAACTGCTTTCATTATTCCTGCCCAACTCAATCAATCCAGTCTTTAGCACCGCACCTGATTTTGAATAATTTGTAATGGCACCCAGTTCCGTTACTGATGCCCTGTTCTGGGTACCTACAATGAGATATCAAGGTAAAGTATGAAAATGGGTTCAAATCTTTGTGGCCCAAATGCCTACACTTTCAACTTCAGACTGGTAATTTTTTATGACATCCATCTCCCTCGGCCCATTTCCCAACCTGGTTGTCTACCACAATTCAGTTTGTCTTGTGTTTCTGGCAAGCAGCAAGGGAAAGAAGCAGTCACTGACACTGCATTTTTTCCCAGTGTAAGTTGATTTTGATTGACAGGGCTGTAAAGCTCCTTTTAAATATACATTTTCCTTCATTATTTCTTACAGGAATACTCAATTAGTTGAGATCTAAAAACCACAATTGCAGGACCTGCAGCTGAGGAAACAGGCCCAACTGTGAAAATACATTTATGACAGAATATAGTTCCTTGCCTTGCATACACAAACCTGGGGAGCAAAGTGACATTTCTTATTTTATTTATTCCAAGGTTAATTTAAGTATACTTTTCAGTCTTTAGATTGAAATGGATCTTGTCCTTCATCCTGCACATATTCCTGTCTCAGAAACTAAAATTATAATTCAGTTAAAATGCCACAACACTGAATTATAACACAGTTACAAAGATAAATGAGTAAGGGACTTGGACAAGAAAAAAGTGATATGAATTTAAATAACACGGAGAAGCAAGGAGTCAAGAGAGAATATACCAGAGCTCCTCCAGATGGCAAAACTTGCAGAGAGGACCCCTTGAATGGCACAGTACGCTAAGGGCTGTGGGCAGGAATGCCTTCCAGATTCAGTAGCACTTGAGGTGGCAGCTCAATAAGGCATTTTCCTATTCAGCAGCCATTTTCGATGAATATATCCCTTGGTTAGTTGTTTGTTGCTACTTCTTCATCTCTTTCTTTTGCATTACTCTGCCTCCTTCCTTTTGTTTCTGTTCCTCAGACTGGACACTTCAGATTTCA